GGGTTGAAGGGGTAGTGAAACTGTTTTGCCTTTCTCTTTGTTTTCAGTAAATTTAACGTAGAATCTAGATTCTACATGTACTTTTGAAAAATATTTGGGCTTAATTTCTAAATTGAAGTTTTCATTAAAACGACGTTCAAGTCAATACAACAAGTTGTATGCAATAAAATAAATGGTCCTTTAAAATACCTATGATAATAGATCTTACTAAAAACAGACCACACGGACTTGATTCACCCTCCCGGACCCCCAACCCCCACCTCACTCCCATCTACGACAATGGAATAAGCTGAATGAAGTCAACTTCAGACGCAAGGACGAGTCCATTGTTCCTATCAATAGGAGTGATCACCCTGGAATACTTCTAGATTTAGGGAGGTCAGCTACTCACTTGTCTTGGAACTGGTAACTGTTACTATGTTTTGGATTTGCCTTCTAGTTTTAGTAAGTGTTTTACGGCACTTGCAACACAATAAGGTCATATGCTTTCCGAAGATTAGAGGTGTTACAAGGGAGTTACAAGCACAAAAAAGAAGGATGGAAAATAAAGACGATAGATGTTTGATGGGAAAGAAGAAGCAGACCACACCAGAGCACCCACCAACCACCCACGGGATTTGCCTTGACTCTCGGTTAGGGCTGGCTAATGCGGGCTGAAAGCGATGCAATGTCCCAAGAGACAGACAGTAACAAACCGCATCACTCGTGAAGTGAGTCCCCGTTTTCATGCAGCCTGGTCGATAAATCAAAAGCAAAAAACCCAAAAACAAACCAAAAACAAAACAACAGAATCAACTCCCAAGAAACAACTCAACATTAAAGAGATCAAAATGTTTTGTTTTTGTTGTTGTTGAATTTTTTAATTTTGTGTTTTGTTTTGTTTGTTGTTGTTTTTTTTGGGGGGGGGCTGCTTTTTGTTTTGTCTTTTAAGGTTGTTTTTTTTTTTTAAGGGCGGGCTTTCCTCATTTAAAAAATTGTTTTTAAAGCAAGTGAAGAAATTGAAGGAGCAGTTACATTGTCCCGATTTGAACTCTGATTTTCGACCTTTGACATTTGACCTACCTGCACTGGTGGTGGGCTCTGCCCTGAGGTCACTCTCTGCCGGCGGGGTCAACCGTTTGATGACGTCACAGTGCTCTGTCGGGTGGCCGAGGGGTGTCAGTGGCATGACTGGAAGGAAGGAAGGGGAGTAGAAAAAAAGGATGTGGTGAGAAGGGTGGTCTGGGTCTATCTTTTGGTGTCGTAGCA